CCAGAGAAAGCCACGTCTATGTAGGTAGGTATTCTTCCAATCCATTCCTCACTTATTCATTTTTCTTTTAGCTATTTCTTAATACCACATGACTCTCTGAAGCATGCTGAGAAAAAGCCCATTGGTGGCTCATTCTGATTCATCTTTATCGCCATTTAATTTCATTTTTAGCGTCTTAGGGTTTTGCGTTATTCTAAGAAATTAAGGGTTATGGTTAAAGAACAGAGATATTGAGGTAGAGAGGTAGATTCATGGAGAAGAGAGGAGGTTGTGGGTGGTCTGAATTTGAATTTTGATAGAGGAGCACCGCCGAAGGCGATTTTTGGCAGCACCACTCTGGTGGTTATGTGTTTGAGAAGGGAAAAGAGACTCGGAGTAAAGTGGGCTCATGTGACCCCTTCAGGATTCTTTTGGGCTTTTTGCCCATTTAATTCACCGAGGCCCAATTATTTTTAATAAACCTACATTCCCCATATTACTTGCCATACCACGCTTTTTGGAAGACTTGAAGATAACAAAAAAACACCATATGGGCTTCTGATCCAAAGCCTATGTGCCAATTGCTTGCTCATAGCTCTCCTGGGCTTGGCACCCCCAGGGGATTTTTATTTACTTTAATTATTTAATCCCATTTTTTTTCTAATTTTTAAAATATATTTGTGCTTAGAAAACAATAAAAAATATTCAAGACCTTAGTGAGTAATTTTAGGTTTTAGGACTAATTGGACTTCAAATTTCTTTTGGTTCTTTAATGCACATTTTTCATCTAATTTTGACCATATTTTTTCCATGAAGTTATAGTATTTTTAGCTTGATTGTATGCTTTAATTATTGTTAGAAGATATTGAAATTCGGGTACAAGCAACATACATACATCCCAACATCAGAATGATGTTAAGACAAATATTACAACATCTGGTAGCATACCAAATCAATTAAGCTATAAGTGATATATAAAAAAAATGCAGAATGATAAATAAAACCTAGACTTGTTAACCCAATTCGATGCAATATCATCTACTCTGGGGGCTGCCAAGCCAGGAAGGAAGTCCACTATTAGCAGTATTAGTTCAAAGCTAAACAATCCCAGTTTACAACTTCTCGTCTAATCCCTACCCAATGTAACTTATACCTAGGCACCTCCTAGATATGAGAAATCATCATCTCACTTCCTAAATCACACCAGTGATATCTAACAGTCCCAATCCCAGTGGCTGTATTGAGTATAACTCAACAAGAAGATCATAATTCCATTACAATAAACTCAAACTCTTGCTTAAAAGCTTTAGGTGAGAATAATAACTTGACTAAATGTCAATTAAAAATCAGTCAACCACACAGTATCAAAAGATACAAGGGTGACTTACAAACTACACAAGAGACTCTTAAAACCTAAGACTTATTCTTCCCCTAATTTTACAATTGTTTAAAACTTAAATTACATTAGGTTAGGACTTATCTTTAAATACAACTATGCAGTCCACAGGTTTCGATATTTTGAGTCCAAAGGTTTCTTGATCCATAAGCTAAGTGATGTACCAATTGTGTAGCAAATCTCCTGAAATCTTGGAGCAACTAATACAAAGTTTCCTAAATTGTCTTAAGGCCCAATTTAGTAACTAATGCTGAGCTGGAGATATAAAACTTGTTCCAAAACAAATCTTCTTAACCTGCGAAAATCTATGACATATATTCAAAGGAAATACAATAGACGCAAATCAAATCTATAAATATTTAAATCAGCAGCGCAGGCCTGCTTCATAATAGACCAAGATGTCATGACATCTTGTTCGACATCTGGTCAAAACCAGGTTTTAGCAAAAGTTGTCAATTCCAAAACCATGATACTAACAAATACTCATAATTTTAATCTATAATAACATGCTCCCTTAGGCTTGGTTTTAGTTCAATTAAATTAAGTATTTTGCTCGATTAAATTGGACTAAAATTATTTTCTTATAGGAAATTTAACAAAACCATGACACGATCATATTAGGTAAATTTTCCCAATCTAAGACCCTAGATTCTAGGTCCATCCTTGACATGACAACATTATCTTTTCTCCTCATTTTTGCATATCATATTTTCTTTTGTCTTATCCATGAAAACTAAAATTCTTTTCTTTAGACAAATTCAAAATACGTTAAAAATACAATACGTATTATATGTCACAAGCCTTAAGTAGATGGAGAATGATGAGCAGGAGAATTCCTTAACTCATCCTAGATTATCTTTGAATATGGGATGCCTGACCTAATTATTCAAAGTATTCGCCTCCATTTCCTAGTCTTTAGTGTGATACGTATCAAACATAACTTTCATAATTAAAGGGGAAAAAAGGATTTGGTGGCACATTGTTACACGATTCCCCGTATATTCAAATACCCACAGTCTTGGAGGACCATTTGGTATACGTCTCCTAACAATCAACTTTGAACCAATCAAATATGATACCTTGCCTTCGAGAGATTTTTCACTTTAAACTTTTCAAAAAGAGTACGTCACCCATAAAAACAACCAACAAATACATATTTTCTACCCCATGAACTACGAGACTTTGATTTCCTTATTACACTGTGAGGATACGTAGGCACGAGATTTCAAAACCAAAGCGAGCACACTAATTAAAAACTTATTTTTACCCTTTATCATTCATAGCAAGTAAACCTTTAGATTAATAACACCCTTAGAAACAAACAAACAAAGTGGATTATATTGAGGACACCGAATGTGAGAGGTGCTAATATCTTCCCCTTGCATAATCAAATTACGAACCCGAATTATGTTGCGAGACCATTTTCTTCACCTTTTGGGGTTTTCTCGATATTTTCCCTTTCCTCTTGGAATAAATAAAGTTTGGTGGAGACTTTTTTATTTATTTTCCCCGGCGTGACAAATGGAACATGGGTGCCATGTTAGAAACCACAAATGAAGAGATAATAGTGACGATTACATGGAAGTAGAAAGGTTTCCTAAGTTCCATTGATGGAGAATCCAAAGGAATCTACAACATTGTCTAGTTAGTAGAGAAGATGAAGGGGAGGAATATAGAAATAAGAAGGTTAAATACTTTTTTTTCCTTTATCAATATTTCAGAATCCATTTTGGTCTCTTAACTTTTAAAAAGACCAATTTAATTTTTCTTCAAACAATATCATGTTTGTTCTTTTCATTACTTCTATTAGTCAAAGTTAATTGCAGTTTCGAAATCATTTACACTTGGTGCTGATGTGGACCAAGTTTTATGCTTTAGCTCCATGTCTATATTTTATAGCTAGTTTAATGTGAGAAAGAAATTGACCCTCTCCAAGAACAAGTGAGTCAAGACCCTTCATTCTTAATGTGTGATGCTTCACTCCAAAAAGTGTTTGGGGAAGAAAAATGAAATTGTCCATGGATTTACAAAAGATATCACAACATTTTAACAAAGAAGTTGTTGATGATTCTCCTCTGTCCCCAGTAAATCTGATCCGAAAGAGGTTGGCGAAGTTTTTTATGGCTAGATTTGGTACACATTTCAAAATGCAAATTGAAATAATAGGGTTTCTATTAGAAATGGATTATTGGAGTTTGGGTTTGTTTTGGGTTTCAAAATAAGAACAATAATGAGATTTCTTGTTGTAATTTTGGGTTTTAAAAGAAGAAGAATAATAGGGTTTCTATTACAAAATCTTAGACATTCAACAATTTGATTAGTTTATTTGTGTTTTTTACTAGGATTATTTGATTTGTTGAGTTTGTGGAAACTATGTTGATAATTTTAAGGATGATTTTGTATTCCACTAAAGCTCCAAAAAAAATCCATTTATTCTTACAATATATGAGAAATTTCAATTAAACATGAATGTTGTTAGAAATGGTGAGATTACATGTATAATGATGTGGTTTGAAATTTCAATTTGGTTGTTAAATTTTTTGTTGGATTGTAATTGAAATTTCATGACTACACATGAAGCTTCAGTTGGGTTTTAATTTCATTGTTATTTTAAGCTTTAACGAAAAAATTCATTGGAATCTGTGTTGCTTCATTATCCCTCCCCTTTAGATATATGAAAATTTATTTTCTAGAATTTTATTTCATTTTCAGATTATGATGCTATAGTTTGAAGCTTCAAGAAAAAAATCCTTAAAGGACAACAACCTCATTGTAATCAACATTGCACCTCAGACCAATCAGAAACAAATGAAATAAATGAATTTTGATTCTTTTAAAAAAACAAATTTTAATATATATATATATATATATATATATATATATATATATATATATATATATATATATATATATATATATATATATATATATATATATATATATATATATATATATATATATATATATATATATATATATATATATATATATATATATATATATATATATATATATATATATTGGTCAACAAAATTATCAATTTAATATATTTTATTATTATTATTATTATTATTATTATTATTATTATTATTATTATTATTATTATTATTATTATTATTATTATTATTATTATTATTATTATTATTATTATTAGTTTAAGTGTTTCTTATAAATTAAATGGAAGGGGATAAGCATGAAATGATGGTAAAGAGATGTGCATGAATGAATTTAGGAAACGAAATTTATATTATATTTACAAAATATACTTTAATAAAAGAGAAGCTTCCATTCCCATTTTCTTTATCTATATTGGAAGTAATTTTTTTTTAAGTTATGTATTTTAATTATTTTATATCATGTATATTAAGTTAGTTTGAATATAACCATAAGAGAAAACAAAAAGGTGAATATATGTATTCAATTTCAAAGACCAGTGATATTTTATTTTTGAGTTTATATATAAAATAAATTAAGTAATAAAATATTAAAATAAAAGTATTTAATTATTTTTTGCTATGTCATAGATTTAAAAAGAATTATAAATACTCTATCATTGTCAATCTCTTCTTCACAAAATACATTATCAATATCTTCTCCACATAACATTTATCCTTAATATTTTTTAATGGAAGACGAGAAAACTAAGTTTTCATCTTTCTCACCATTCTCTAGGAACGAATTCTTAGAAGAGAATCCTCACACCATCAGCCTAAACAAAGTGGTGCCAACACCATCACTTGAACAACCTTCCTCAATTGAAGTTTTTGAGCTCTCTGAAGAGTCAACGATGGACAATCCTCCGTCCACCCATAGAAAATACCAGGGTAGACCTTCGGGGTCTAGGAATAAACCCAAACCACCCATGGTTATAATGGAAAATTCAATTGCTGACGTGCAAAACGTTGTCCTCGAGATTCCTATCGGAAATGATGTTGTGGATTCCATAATCTACTTTGCTAGGAGTCATGAAGCTAGCATAGTTGTGATGAAGGGTTCTGGACTTGTATCCGACATTACTCTTCTCCAACCAAATTCTCGTATCCCGGCTTTCCAATTAGATGGTCCATTTAATGTGTTATCTCTAGCGGGTGCGTATTTAAATCTCGATTGTGGTCGAGTTCCTCATAATCTTATAAATGATTCTTTATGTACAACTTTTTCTCTTCAACTCTCTGGATCTCGAGGACAAGTATTTGGCGGAGTGATTGGAGGGAAGATTAATGCTGCTAGTGACATTCATATTTCAGCTATTCTTTTCAAGAGGCCTGGATTTCATAGGGTGGTCACCACTGATGGGAATGTTCAATTATTTGAAGATGATGACGTCTCAATAATTTATGATGGTGTTAATGCTAGTGATTATGGTGGTGTTGAAGCCAGTGAAACTCAATCAGAAAATCAAGTTCTCCCTTAGTCGTTATGCTATTGATGAGAATGGTATGAAATTATTTTTCACTCCATTCCACACTCATGTCTTTTTCCTTATTTCTTTAGCCTATCAATTTAAAATATATAAAATGATTATAATTTTTTATTTTTATGTTTTATTTAAAGAGATTATTAATAATTGATAATCTTAAATAAAGATTAATTGATACTTATAATTTTATATGTTGAGAATCATATACTAAAAATATTTAATCATTTTAAATCTCTAAGAGTCATATACTAGAAATATTTAATTATTTTGAATCTCTAAGAGTCATATAGTAGATATATTCATATAGTTGATATGGTCATAATATTTAATTATTTTTATGTCAATATTTTCAAAGTTACAAATTAAGGTAACAGGTGGAGATTTGGATTAATTTTATGAAAAATAATTGTTCCATAAAAAATACATACAATTTAAATATTTTATTAAAAAAACTGATATAGTGACAAGTAATGTAATAACCCAAACGAGACATGTCTAGAATTAACACGTTTATAATGTTAATATACATATGAAAACATAATGCAATAGTATAAAATATCACATGATTACATGATTTCACACACTTATACATTCCGTATGATCATATTACAACATGTTCGATAAAATATTTTAGAATACACAATGTAATACAAGAGATAAGGAAACTATTCTAACTCCTTAATCCATCTTGCCTTTTCCCTTATCATGCATTGAATTACTTGAAATATTAAACATGGGTTGAGATACAACTATCTTCGTGGAGTTCTAACTACGCCATAAATCCACTCGAATAATGGGATCAAACATGACACTATAACTCCTAACTTTTACGAAATAAAACGTGAACCAATAGGTACTCGAGGTATACCAATCTGCTGTTATGTGAGAATGCTAACTTACTCGCTGTTCTGACTCATGTATGTCTATGAGAGAGGAATAGTTTATGAGACGACACCTACTACTAGCACTTACTACGTCAAGTCTAGCTTACAAAATCAATGACTTCAACTAATCTGCCCGATTATAGACTACATATGTGGGCTAGCCATACTTCTAGCCATTCTTTCACACATATATTCTGATTGTTTCCCTTTAGACTAATATCATCGCCATTGTCAATTTTGAAGTGTGAATCGATGCATATAAAGTTGTTGATTATATAATTGAGGTCGAGTACATTGCTGCCTCAAATACAAAAAGGAAGTTGTTTGGGTCAATAAGTTTATTAGTGAATTTGGCATAGTCCCTAGCATTATGGATCCCATTAATCTTTATTGTGGTAACGATGGTGCTATCGCACAAGCTAAGGAGTCTAGATCTCAACTTTGATTTTCTCAGACATCTCTGGGCGCATACGGAGAACCTTCTGTTTTACCGGAGGGTAGTCTTCTTTAGATGGCAGGAGGTGTACCACAATATCAGTATCCAACCCAGGCATATCTTCATGAGACCAAGCAAAGATCTCAACATAGTCACGCAACATTTGTATTAACCGTTGCTTGACACTAGACTCCAGATTTGCACCGATCTTAACCTATTTCTTGTCCTCTTCTGTACCCAGATTCACTGATTCCACTGGCTCTTCATGGGGCTGTATGGCCCTCTCTTCCTGTAGTAACAGTCTAGCAAGTTCCCCAGGCACTTCGCAATCATCCTTGAAGAAGTGAAAAACACAAGAAGGGGGGTTGAATTGTAAAACTTGAAATCAAATGCAGACAACACGTTATTTTTATCCTGGTTCGTTTGATCTCAAACTACTCCAGTCCACCCGTCAAGGTGATTTCGCCTCTCTCCAACGAGGACTTAATCCACTATATTCAACTGAATATTACAACTGCTTTAACAACTTCTAAATCCTTCTTGAGTCTAAACCACAGACCGGTTTCTCAAGGAAATTCTTTCTTACAGATAAATGAAAACTATGTGTGAATGTTTTCTACAAAAAACTTTATATCACAACTGTGATAATACATAAATTAAGCTTATGTGAAACTAGGATGCTATAACTAGAGAGTAAGAAATTTGAGAGATATAACAAACTTTTTGAGTGAGGATGAAGATGATTTGCTTTATGCGTGTGAAGAGTTGTAGAGCATTAGCCAATTCGTTTCTCACTGACTTGTTTATATAGCTTTGGAAAAGATACGTTGTAGTCACTTATTCCATTTCAATGCCCATTACGTTCTTTCCATGTTTAGAAGATCTTTGTCTTGGAATACAGCTGTTGGTAATAAAGTGTCTTGAATGCACAGTACCGTTGTCAATTAAGCGTGTTATTGGCTTTGGCTTATTCTGACGCTTCTAACTGCTGATGATATTGTTTTGGTCTTGATCAGAGTTTATAGTATGTTAAGCGCAGATCTGTTCATCAAGCTTCGGCGTAAGCACATGCTTTGATCTTCTGATGCTGGCATATGATATTTCATCTTCTGATGCTGGCATATGATATTTCATCTTCTGATGCTGATGTTGACATTCTTATGCTGATATCCATCAGAGTTTCTGTAAATGCACAATATAATTTTTAGGTAGCATATATGTCTCATATGAATTATACAATTTCTTTAATCTAGCATTTTGTTATCATCAAAACTTTAACTTAGGGTAGTAGATTCAAACTTTGTTCTAACAATCTCCCCCTTTTTGATGATGACAAAAACCAGATATTTTTAATTGAGATTTAAAGGCAGAATTATCAGAGATAACCAAATAATAAATTGTATCAGAGATAAACAGAAAGGTGTCAACGATAAGGAGGAATAAAAAGGTAGCAGAGTTTAAGAAGATAAGAAAAAGCTATCAGAGTTATGATCAGAAAAACTCCCCCTGAGTTTATTACTTCCCTTTTAATTCCATGAGTCCTTTAGCATCAGATCTTTCTTGAACTTTCTTTGAGCATCAGATCTTTCTTTTACTAGAGCAGAGCTTCAGTGTATCAGAGATAATTAACTTCTTGTACCTGTAAGCTTATGCAGAGCACAGAAACATTCAAGTATATCAGAGTGTTAGAATGTTTGAGACTTTTGTCTCAGTAATCCGTTATTGAAAAAATATCATTCTTTCTCCCCCTTTTTGTCAGCAATCAAAAAGTGCAAATAATTGAGGTTAAAAACGATCAGTGCAGAAAAACGATTGTATTCAGTTCAGAGCTAAGAAAATATTACAGATAACATGTAAAGAAAACAGTGAGAACATCAAGAAATAAAATCTAAGGTTGGGGAGGAAGGCGTGTGAACAGAGCTTCTAGCATGTTCTTGATCTGATCAGTGGTTTCCTTTTGCTGATGCACCATGCTGACTACTGAGTCAATCTTACTATCCTGAACATCCATCCTTTCCTTCATCCGTTGATCATTCTCATCCATTCTCTCCTGCAGTCGAAGATCATTTTGCTTCAGCTCTTCAAGAGTCTGCCTGTCCAATGCAGCTTGAGAAGAGTCAGAATCAGGATGCTTCTGAGAACTTTCTGCAACAACTTCTTCTTAACTTATATCTTCAGCTGGAATCGTTTGTTCTTCGGCTGGTTGAACTGTTGAAGTTGAGCGCTTGTCAGACCAAGGCTCACTGTCCAGATGAAGCACTTCCTCCTTCAGCAGCTGACTCAAGACGGGACCTTCAACTTCTTTCAGCAGATTGCTGAAGTTCTGTTGAGCCTGTTCATAGTTTAGGTCTTGCAGCTTAAAGGTTTCAGCGCGTACCCATCGTCTAAATTGTGTCCAGATTTGGTCTGAAACAGCAGGATCAATCACTCCCGGACAAGCCTGCTTTAGAGAAGAAATCCAATTCTGCATGTCTGTTTCAAAATTCAAGATGCTAGAACCAACATATGGTTGTTTGGGTTTGGGAATGGCGGTTTTATTTTTAAGGGCAGCAAGGCGGTCAAGGACTGTTAGATCAATGAAGGTCTTGCTGTGGTCATCTGGATTTTGTTTGGGTGAGGGAGTGGGAGAGTCAGAAATGATTATTGGACTGTGTGGAGTGTTGGGTGGAGTAATTTCTGGTGAGGATGGTAGTTGAGGTATTTTACAGTTGTACCACAAGGCAGTTGAATGGCCAAGGGTTGTGGTTCAGAGGATTCAGATGATTGAGGTTCAGGGGTTTGAGCCTCAGAGTGTTGAGACTCAGAGTGTTGAGATGGTTCGTGTTGAGGTGAGGGTGGATTAAGTTATGGTTGTGGAGATGAAGGTTGTGGAATTTCTGGTTGTGGTGAATGTGGATCTTCTGGTATTGGTAAGAGTGTAGTTTCTGGTTGAGGTGAGTGGGGAGTTTCTGGTTGAAGATTTGGATTTTCTGTATGGGGAGCGGAAGAGTGTTGATCAATTTCTGAAAGAACTTTTTCAAGTTCTGGTTCTGTTGAGGTTGTAGGTTTGGCGCGGGATCTTCTGAGAGTTAATGACTCAGAAGGGTCAAACTCAGGTTCAGTATCATCAATGGTTGGAATTGGGATTTCAAATGAAGTTGGGGTTAGAATAAATGTTGGAACAGCAAATGAATTTAAAACATTAACAGAAGACAGATTACCTCTCTTCTTTGGGGTCTGCTGAGACGATCCTTCTGATACAGCCTTTCTCTTCTTAGTCTTCTTTAGAGTAACCTCTGGTGTTTGCTGGATGCAAATATTTAATGTTCAGATCAGGATCTGTGCCATCAGCTTTACACGCATCCAAGTATCTGAGAACAATGACTGGTTTAGAGTCAATCTCAGAGAACATAGGAAAGTCGTCCAGAGGGACTCTCCTGCTGGAGATTTCAGCATGAGGAGTGACGCTGGGCTCCTTCCTTATATTCTCTATCAGCTTCATCTTTTTCAGATTCTTGGCATTCAGCTGCTTGCCAACAGAAGGTTCTAGAGCGCTTATTTCCTGTGCCTCTGTCAGGTGTTCAATCAGCCTATTCTCCGTTAGAATATCTGATATCAATCTGCCGAAGGGTATCCAATCCCTTTTAGTCTTTTCTTCTTCTCTCGTTTCTTTGACGTTGGTCTTCAGATGATTG